TTTTGTAGCATTTTAGCAGCATAATTATAACTTTCATCATCTAAACATAACTTTCGGACTTCTATCATTGCAGCATACGGTCCATTCTCTTGTTTTAGGCCTTCAAAATCATAATGTTCTGTAACTTCATCATTACATTGAGGACTCCAACTGCCAGAAAGATCTCTTGGAGAAAATGTGCTAGAGGAGCGGAATGATGAAGTCGAAGAAACTGAATAGCCTTTCTGAGTTGGTGTGGGGTTTGCCAATTTACAGTAAATTGAAGATATGCATCTTATAATTTCCACAGATAGTCTATCAGGATAATTGAGGGCATCATCTATGCGAGAATTTCCGAGATGATATGCAAGGCTACGGTGTGGTCCGTGTGGAGAGTAAACATTATTCTTCTCCTGCAATTTTTCATTACAGACATCGTCAGTCAAAGAATGCTTCGGAAAAGAAAAAACATAAAAACACGTGTTATTGCAGGAAAATATGTGATTTTATAGGTTTAAAAACACTGTTAACAACTCAAATTATAGCACAACTTTCATGCTTTTTCTTGTTGAAGTGTTTTGTTTCAATTTGGTAACTCGGTTAGAATTTGTTAGTTTTTCTAACATAATTTTCCTTGTGGAAGACCTCCATGTAGATGCCACATCTACTGCAGTATTCCATGTCAGACATTTCATCAGAAAACTAACGTATTTTAGATCATTGACCAGCCTGAAACCGAAAACAAACTTCAGTAATCAGTTTGGAATAAAATAAGCCTCCATGACTAACATGAAACTGCGCTATCAGTTGACTGCGTGACAGTGCTTTAAACCCAATTTTAAAGGGAAAACTTAAAAGAGTATTTGAACAAGCAAAGCGTATTTAAACATATAAGGGATGTTGTAAATTAACCCTTCTAGATGATGACTTTGGAGTAGCCACTGTCATCAGATCATTCGAGTGAGCAAAAGCACTGGAAGGGGAACTTTGACTTTGATTATCATTATAGCCTTTTAACATGTCGAGTTCCATTATTGGAGATAATTTTTCAGCCTTAACCTGTGGAGTTTCACTCATTTTCTGTAAACTTGTTCCCTGGTTTCCCAATGAACACGGGAATTGCTGCTGAAAAACCGTCCGATAAAGAGAAAGCAGATAGCGTTCCAATTGCATGATTTCAAATTCAAGTGTGGCAATTTCATTCACCAGTTCTGCTAAGGACTGCAGTGGACATCCAAGAAACTAAATTAGGTCAGCTAAAGAGTGATAAATCAAAATAAAATAAAAAGAAGTGATGCTATCTGCAATGTTATCTTAATTATCATATTCACATATCAGTTAATATCCTTTAGATATTGATCGTACCAATACTTACGTTCATGTTCTAACAGTTATTTAAACTAGCATAATTCACTACAAAAGAATAACCATTTTTTGACTTGGGAAATAAAGAACGGAAAGATTCTTACCAATTCCAAACGCGAAAGTGGTTTATAGAAATAGTGCAGTACCATATGAAAATTTAAGAAAGCAATTGAAAATAAATGATTCATGAATTAATTTTATCGCCATACACCATGTATTTCTACATTATGATGTCCCAAAATACCAAGTTCATACATGAAATTTATGAATAATAAAAGATAAACAATTCCATAACCTTAGAAGTCGGCATGCTATCTGAAAGACTAGCAGCAACTGATTCAAAGCACTGTTCCTTCCGTGAGTCCCAACAAATGGATGACTTATCAACGAATGTCCTCCCCATGTGTATAGTCTGTGTCAGAAATAAACATAATATTGAGTTATAATACAGAAGCAATCATATTAGCAGAACAGAAATTAATTTTCTGATTGCAAGTTAACAAATTCTTACAACAGCTAAATTCTGACATTTTCTTAAGAAAAGTGGTAAACTATTGGGCACAGGAACAAAATTTATGAAATTCCCACCTGATTTTCAAAAAGCAGCAGCAATCAAAACTCTCTATATTCTGTTTTTGCGCCAAGGAACAGTTTAAATATACATGATTTTTAATGTAAATTACGATCCTTTACTTTCAAAATGCTAAACCTTAAGTGCTGCTTAATCTATTTAAAGAATCTCCACAAGGTGCACAAATTTTAGCAAATATATTTCTTTGCAATACAAGCAACATGCCAGAGAACATGGGAAAATCCTGATTTCCTGGCAAAGAATATTAAGATCTAAGTGACCTATTGGCCGTTTAAATAAGAAACAAATTAAGTAAAAATCAAATCAAAGAGTGAGCTAATAGGGACAAAATACT